CCTAATGTTGGGGTAAGTTGGTGGCCCTTCAGTCATTCTGAACGACCCTTGTGATTTTACCTTGTGGGCAGTCTGGGGTTGCCAATTACCATTCGCACTTAAGTACTGTAACTAACGTGTAACCAGACAATTATTACTGTACTAAAGAACGGATCTGTCAGCATAAATTTCAACTAACAATGAGGCGTTCGAGTCTAATTCACATGCAAGTCATGCCAAATATGATTCAATTCAAATTGTATGCGGTGCAAATAGTTTAAGAGCTTAAATATACATTACACGTGTTGTTACTTTTGTCCGTCAACAAATAATTTACCTAAGTGATACTAGCTTAAAGTATGGATAGTATATGCAGTGTTATGTTAACAATTCTAAAGACAGGTTTATGATATAACACTATTAGATCACTAGTAATAAACTGAATTCTACTCCTGGGATGGGTGTAACGTCCGATTCTAGATACATTGTACAAACCGTCCTGAGGACGAGTTAGTCTAGTTTTGGAGTTGAAGAACGAAGCTCGAAATAATGAAGAACAGCCTCTGAAAACTAACCACTTTGTGTGTTGTGTAATCTGTTGTTGTGGAACTAAGGACCGAGGGACAACGGGTAGAGGAAACCACCCGTAACAACTCCAAAGTGTATATTTTCTTTCCTACGAAAACATGAGAAGTAATCCTATTCCGGGGTAAACACAAAATAGCCTCTTAAGTACTTTCAATTCAGGCTAACCAGCAACCATCCAAAAACTACTCCATCAAAGTTTGAGTAAAAATACTCGATTGTCTTTCTTTTTGTTACCAACTACATAATCTACCTTCTTGGTCACCGCTCAGCGGGTATTTCACTAATAGGTCCCTAGTCTCACATGCTAGCTCACTCTGTCGGCATCCATGTGACTTTAAATACAGAGGTTTCTACGATAAGATAGCCTCCGATTTTCAATTTCCACTTATCGCCAACTCCGGAATTAACTAAAACATTTTAAACGTACTTTAATCCAAAGAAAACCGGTTTATCTAAGAATTCGTCCCTTGCTGTTTGTAAAGCAGTTGTAAACCTACATTTAACTGTCCAACATCGATAATTATCACAAATATTTATTAGCTGCAATTAACTTTATTAATCAACGTTTCTTACTGTACAAATTCTGAGTGCCAAGATAGATAGAAGATAGATAGATAGAAATGATTTTTATTAAAAATATCATCGCAGCCAATGGCTTTATCCGTTTTAGGGGACACTTTTGCTTTGGTGCTTTATCACACTTACGTTGAAATGAATTAAAAGCTCAAACTTTTTATTCACCTTTCCCCGAACACAACCTCCCCCCTTTTTTTTTACAAAATAATATCAAGCTAATCAGAAGATGGATTGAGGTTGACATTCTCGAAGTCAAATCTGAGCTTCCATGGTAGTATGTGGCTGTAAAAAAAATGAAAAGAAAAACAATATTAGAAATTCTTCAATTTAAGTATTAGATATTTAGGCCGTTGGGGCGACAATGACATGGACCTTGAGACACAGGTTCTCCATACTTTTCTGTTTAAACGTGTTCTAGTTAGCAGCTCAAATGACATTCCCGATCACTTTTTGATGTTTTCAGTTCATTTTCTAGTTCGTATGCACCTCTTTCGTTCTCATTTTAGTTCCTCTTTGCAAGATGGAGTTTGTCAAGCCATTCTTCCAGGTTTTAGAAACAGAAATGGAACTCCGCATTGGCAATCGAAACATATCATAAAATGGAAGTCAACAAATGGTAAGAATCAGGTGTATGACAGTCGTGGGCTAAAGCAAGCAACCACTTATGCTAAGTTGTTTTAACAATGCTGTAATACATTGAAACCCCAAGCACAGACACAATTATTTTGATGTGTATTACACATCAATCAAGGTTGAATTGAAACACAAACAGACAAACAAAGAAACACATGGATGACAGTTTGAAGTTTGTATTCCTGCTGCCTCTCTCATATTTATGCTTTCCCTCAGAGCAGTTTTTTTTATTGACAAGACCGAGTTCCTGTTCTGCCTTTAATATACAGACCTATGTATTGATATTCATGATTGCTCATAGAAAAATTATAACAAAATCTTCATTCCAGATGTCTGATACCTGACCTCTATTTTTGGGGTTTTGTATTTCGAGGGGATGTTTTTTCTGATATTTTCTGCTTCTAATGAACTAACAACTTTTTTCGAGGGCTAGTCTCCATATTAAAAATCACAATTAGGTGTCCATAAGATATTTGTTGAATTCATAACCCACCTCTTCTTGGCTCTTTGGAGCATGACCAACACAAGATGGAGATAACTGCCCGATGTAGCCCGGATTCGAGTAAGCTACTTTCATTTCTTCATCAGCAACCTATGCAATAATATTGGTAGAAAAACAAAAAAACAAACAAATGTCTGTTTAGAGCCAGAATAGCATTAAATCTGTGTGATAACGTGTATGGGTTAACGCACTTCTGACTCCAAACAGACAATTGATATGAAGAATTGTTGTGGTACTATGGTTTATCGACTTGACTCTGAATCCAAGGGTTGAGGATTCGAATGCCAACCCAGCAGTATATTGTCCTTAGACACGACCTTCATTTTTGTTTGCTACTACTCACCCGGATGTATTTTTTTTGCTGGTAAATGCTGGGGTGAATTGCAGGGCACTCAGCATTGATGCTCATGACATGTCCCAAATTAACAAAATAAGTTATCAAAATCATTCTCATACATTATCATCTGAAGATGAATCCTGGTCATGCTATAGGAGTGTGAGAGAAACAGAACTTTAACAACAAAAGATGCACTGACAACTAATAAAATAAAGAAATTAAAACCTATGCTTCTAGTTATTTCCTTCTTTAATTAAAGAAGCTCTTTGAAGCTTTTGTCAGTGTTTATTTTTGTACTCTTCAAAAACATTTTAAAGGTATTATGTCCCATTTGCAGGCCAGAAAAATTAAAAGGTTAATTCCAATGGCATTTGAGAGATAATAGTGATTTAGGACTTCCTTCAAAACGAAAATGTGGGAAAATAACGACGATTAGATGTCGAATCGACATAAGTGATTGCAATCAATCACTTATGTAAATAGTATGATCTTCGGACCCTTCATTGAATCTTTGCGCAGCACAAAATATACGACCATTTGGTAATAATCGTATGTTTTGTGCTGCCCAAATATTCAATCAGTTTAATTTTGGCCACTACAAGAAGTGGGTAATATTATTGATGTAAGCAAATGCTGCATGTACCTGTTACAACTCATGTTATGTATTTTATTACCGAACAAATAAAAATAAATCTGTCAGTCACTCAATAGCGTCTGACAATTAAGTATAGAAAGTATACGGGTTTCCTTACATAAATTTCACAGATAGGACATTCATGACATATTCATGTTTCCTACAATGTTTTACATAATTTGATTTTGCTGCAAAAGGGAAATAGTATTTTTAAGATCCAAGTGATTTTTCCTTCGAAAAGCAACATACTTATAACATGTTGATTTACGCTTACTTTTTTGCCTGGTAAATGATATTCACAATAACACAGAGTTTGCATCTCACCTTTTCCTTTTGACCTTCCTCGTAGAGGTCACCGACACCACACCGGAGAGGGCGCTTTACAATTTCCGGTAGACAGCAGTACATTCGGTCTGCGATGGGGCTAATTAACATTGGGTTCAAAGTCCTAGGGTCGTTAGCGCCTTCGAGAGGAGGGAGGTTGGGAGGAAAAAAATAAAAATGATAACTGACTAAATGTAAAGGACAGATGGGTAGAGTGCTAATGCGAGGAGGAATACTGCACACGATATAACATGCTCAAACGAATACAAAGTTAAAATCTACACAGGGTCTTTGCCACTGGATAAAAAGCGATATCAAATCAGTCATTATTTCAAACTATTCAATCATAGCTGTGACCACGAACAAATTGCTTTAATGAATTCAATCGGGCCATGAAGTAACATTTTCTTGTCAAATAATTGCGGGGTAATGTGGCCAAAAAATGACTTAAAAGAACATTTGTTCCTTTCATTTTACTACCATCTTTGCAGAATACCTTCTTTTGCCATCAGAATGAAGGTGTAGCCACAAAACGCCCTCTATTTGGATTGATAACATGTTCTTCTGTCCTCGCAATATCGGTCCTCCTTTTGACATGTTTAACGCATTTATACTTCTCCGCCAGTTTGAACTCGGTTTATTAAACGCACTTCCTCGGTCACGATTTATAAAAGAAAAATGTGACATACACAAACAAGAGAGCATAGTGGTATATTGTTTAAATCCCTTGACTCTCATACGAGAGTTCCCGGGTTCAATGTTTGCTCGGCCCTTATATCATTGGACAAAGCTGTTTTTACTGCATTTGTCTCTCTCGACCCAGGTGTCATAATCGATACCTGGCAATTCTCGCATTACTTTCAAAATCCTAATTCTTTCATACAAAATAACACATAACCTTGCCCCTAAATATCTTCTTGCCCTATAGTCTCCTTTTCTGCCAGATCCCTCCGTTCATCTTCTTCCATGCAATTAATTCACGGCCCACGATCAAAAAACCATTATAGTGACCGTGCCATTTTATCGATTGCCCCCGCCTTCTGAAACAAACTCCCAGCCCATATTCGAAATTCCCCATCCATTGAATCATTCAAAACCCTTCTCAAAACCCACCTTTTTAATCAGTTATAGTTTACTGGAGGCGCACACAATTGTGAATTCCATTCAATTCAATTGTATTGTATTGTATTTTATTAGTAATATTTTATTTTATTTTGTTGCTTTTAAGGTATTGAACATGTTGAATAATTATAATAACATAGGACAGTACCACCTGTGCGCTTAGAAACGCCTGTATAAAGCGCCTTTGAAACGTAATTATTAGTAGTATTATGCTGGAGTAATTATATTTGCGGAAATTACAGGAATTATTACAGTACTGATTTGGCTATACTAAGTAATTGTTATTATTGATATTATTATTGTTATTAGTCATTACCCGTCAAGAAGCTTCCAATGAGGGCCCAAAAGATCGTCATAAGCATTGCTGCAGCGCTGTACCAGGCGTATGACAAGCTATATAGACTGGCAATGGCTGGTCTGAAAGTGAACATATACAAGTGGGAAGTTTATAGAAGATGGAGAGGGAGAGAGAGAGAGAGGGAGGGGGCAGGAGCGAAATGGGACTGGGATGTCGTAGGGGAATTTCAATGTGAACGACCCATTTTACATATAAAACTGGTCCCCAAACTGTTCGTTGCCAGGTTTGCCTCAATCGGTGGAGACGATTTATTCCTGAATACATAATGATAACAATAACAATAATAATAATGACGGTAATAATGATAGCAATTATAATGATTAATGATAATAATATTCATTTAGTTAAAGTTTAAACTATCGCTCCCGAGGTAATATTGATACTTCATGATTAGACGTAAAGAAGTAAATTCCACACCTCCCCATTGGTGGCTCCATGGTTGAAGACGTCATCATGGTGTCAGACAGCGTTGTCATGGTTTCCAGTGTAATGTTGCATCCAGCTATGCTCAGCGGTGGCTTCTCGGAAGAGGGAGGGTAGATCTGTGCCCCTATGCCCACCCAGAGAGACCAAGTCAAGCCGAGCAGAGTGCCAACGAACGCCCCCTACGTCATAGACAGAGAGACACGGAGAAGAAGAGTGTCGGTAGGCCGTATTTAAACATCAGAAACATACCTCTACAATTAATCAAGAGAGTGTACCAAGTGAATGAGATATATGTGTATAGTTGACACATACAATAGATGGGCTTACTAATATTTTAAATGTGGAGAGGTCCCACCTTGTGCTATTGAGGAATATCACTCCCAAAATTCTTTTTTCTCCTTCCAGGAAAAGTACAGTCCAGCGTATGATGTATCACGTACTATTAGGCAGGTCTGGTGTTGTGAATGTACAGTGCGAATTTAAAACTTTCTACAATATTCTATGTGCAGATGAAAATCCTTCATCCCCTTCTAACGAAGATGGACGTCTTGTACCTCTGCTTAAAAGCTTCAGTGGAGGTACAGTTGACAAATCCAGCAGGTAGCAAGTTCCAAAGCCTGATGGTATCAGGGAAGAATGACTTCTGGTGTACGACATATAGCACATGGTACAAATGACCCCAAATATCCACAGACCTTTCACACATGGAGAAGTTCCACGTTGAGCATCTTAAAATAATAACTGCCAAGTCCTAGATGTGCTTCATGAATACTTTTTGTTTGTCCTCTTGAAAAGAATACTTCCACCTGCGTATCATAGAATGTACCGTTGGTGCATAAATAAATAATGTTACATAACTTTCATGAGCGCATATCCAGTATTCATCTCTGTGGGTTTTACCATTTTGGTACAAATGACCTTTATCTGCCCATGCGCAGATTGTATCTATGAACTGGCTTATTGCTGGGAATACTTCATGGATATCATTTATCCCTCACATTAAAAAGAAATAATTAAAGCTGTGTATCATGGAGTGCACTGCTGTTGAATAAAAGGTTCACGGTTATCACATTTGACGTGCACGTAATATAGTATTATTTTTACCGAAAGTAACTTTTCTCTGCGCAAAAGCCGAAGAATTTGGTTGACTTACCTTAGAGTTGATCCATGGAAAGAACATTCCAGAAGTGTAAAGTCCCAGAAGTGGGCCCCCAATCATTCCAAAAACACTGAAGGCTGCCTAAAGAAAACAAATAGGGGAAGGATTATGCATCATTCAGTATAGTTTAAGTAAAATTATTGTTATATTTAAAAGCATCAGTATAATATGCACGAGTATAAATATAAGTATTAATATAGTATAGTATGTATTAGTGTAGGTAGACTAATAAAAATACTAAGTATAGGTATATTTGTAAGTATCGGTATGTGTCAAGAAATGAAAAAGAGCCTCCATTTAAACATCATTTTCGAATGCCATCTAGTTTAGTTTTTCTCCTTCTTTAAACAAACACAAAACCCAAGTAAGAAAGTGGGTTTTTATCACGTGGATGTTTTTATGTGCACAAATTGCGTATTTGATTGTGTGTGTGTGTGTGTGTGTGGGGGGGGGGGGCTATCATGTACAATATCAAAACAATTACAAAATGCAATCCCTTCCCCCTCCCTCCAACGAGTCGAGTAATGATATAAATCACACAAAACGGAATTTATGTTTAACAATAGTTGATGCTACATACTGCATAATTTACTTTGATATGCATGTGGTAAATATTTTGTTTTATATTGAATACCATTACGTACCCCAAGAACACTACCGAGTTGCGAAGAAACAAATGCCATCGCGATGCTTAGTATCCCGAAGAAGAGGGCTAACCGAAAGCAGAAGAAAGACGAAAATAACAGATATGTTACAAGTTCATCACTTTTGACGCATTACGTAAAATATCATTTTATTTCATTTTAATTGCCCATCCATGCAAACTTTTTTTTTCCTTGAACGCCCTCTGGCATGTAGAATAAGATCATCCGATGTGAAGGTTGTTGTTATTGTTTTGGGGTTTGTTGGCGTTATCCCTCGATTTCGATGATTCCCGCCAGGCTTGGTGTGAGAGGGCGTCTTGCTCTCTCTCTCTCTCTCTCTCTCTCTCTCTCTCTCTCTATCATCTGCACAATCAGCTCTACGTTTCTGTGATTCTGATACTAGCCCAGGGTGGAGGGAGATCATATTATCCTTATTATATCGGTGTGGACATTTCAGTTTAACGAAATTGTTCACTTAATCTACAAACTCAATAGGATTGTCAAGAGACTATTTTAATACAGTATTGCATAATTTGAAAAAATATAATTATGTCATATGCCTTGATGAAAATGCTTTTTATGTCTTATATCAACATGCGATTATTGTTCTATGTGATGGAAAAGAATGGTTTAAGGCAACAATGACTAGATTTACGTTTTGAGCTTAAGTCAAATATCGTGTTTGTTAATTATTCAATTTTCATTTGACAAATAGAATAGTAACAATTAGAATGTTCGTATGTATGATCGTTTCTTGTTGTCGGTTATTGTAATTCATTGTTGTAATAGATATATTTACCAAGACCCTTTGTGGTCCATGTGTAGGTCTTTTCTTTCATGTCAGGCCAAATCGATTTCACGATGTCCTCGCCCACAACAGCAGCCAGAGAGTTAACCCCAGAGGACACGGTACTATATAGTCAAGCAATAAGAGAGAAGAAAGTTTTAAAGCCCGTCTGTACTAGTTTTGCCAGGGGGATTAGAACACCCTGCAATTTCACTGACAGGTGGTTTTCTCATCAAATCAGCTCTCAACTAACATAAGAAAAAGAGGATCATGGGGGAGCAACATGCATTGATTAGGCATTGATTGCTATGTAGAGGGCGCAAGTAGCTATAAAGGGCTTTAAAGAATAGAAATTGAAGCTTGGCAAACTACACAATCGCAATGGCTTTCGATAAATGGAATCAAGGGCAATTTGAGTAAGTTATATTGTTAAGCCCATAGGATTCATCTTGCTTATGCTCAGAGAATGTATTACCTTATTGTAACATTCTTATATTTCAAAACGTGATGGACAAGACAATTGAAATTGCCTTAGCCGGGTTGATTTTTCGAAAGTCTTTTCGATTTTAAAAAATAGCTTGCAATTTTGAAGGGAGTATTCATAACTCTTACGACAGTTCCCCTTATTTCCAAACTCTAAAGGCAGTGAGACAATTAGCCCAAAAGGCATAACATACATAAAAAGAGAAGCCGCATCATAATCGGCATCCCACCCTCATTGTGTACAATTAAGAACTTACTTAATACAAAGACTAAATATAAGCCATGGTACATCTAAAGAACTTTATGATAGAAACAGATTTGCAAAGGAATTGTGTCGAATTCCCGATGCGAACGGACGACTACGGGTCTGTGGTTATCCTACCTGAGAGCAGCACTGAATATGGCCGAGGTAAATAGGCCGGGTAGCCCGGGCATCTTGCCGAACAGGTACATCACAAAATATGGCATGAGCTAAAAAGAGATAAGAACCAAAAATGTCATGAAAGGACAAGTACATGAACTTGCACAATGTATTGAAATTATGTGTACTTCTACGGATAAATTACATGTAAATCATTAAAAACAAGTATAACTTACTGGTAAATACATACTTTGTTCCCATGTGCATTGCGGTATATTTCCCAGTGACTGCACCAGATGGAATTACAAATGACAGCGTGTACAAAGCTCGCAGGCAGCTAAACCCATGTCTAATCCGGAATTTACTGATGGAGACTCGGCTAGCGTTCGAATGTATTTCTAATGTAGAATTCGTGATGAAGAATTTTCTTCACACGGCTGTTCAATTCCCCTTTAAAACCCTTAACTATATATGTCTAGAGGCGTTTGCGATTACTATTATCATCATTGTTATTAATATTATGATCATTTTGTCTATTAATGTCATTATTATCATTATTATTATTATCATTATGCTTAACATTATTGTCGTTGACATCATCATCAGCATCATCATTATTATAAATGCAGTTGATATTTGTTTACAGTGCTGGAGGTGTTTCACAAAGACTAAGATTGACCTTAAAGTTGGACTCAACTATGGCAGGCTCTTCATGCCACTGTTTGCTCTCACCATTGTTGTAGAATAAAGTCTTAAATATACAGGTTCACAATGTAAGTAACTTAATTTCTAATACAAAGAACTACCAACATATTTAAATTCTATAGATTTGTGACGCTTTTGAGAGACCAATGGTGAGAGCAACTAGTGGCATGAACAGCCCACCATAGTTACGTCCAACTTAAAGTCGATCTTAGTCTTTGTGAAAAACTCCCCTGGTCTTTACCTGGTCTGATTTGGAGACATAGCCCATGGTTAGCGGGTCACAGACGGCGAAGTTAGCATACATGACGATACCCGATATACATGCTGCTGATACAACGATTATCATACCAATTATAGCCATGAACAGGGACCTGTTAAGATTGTAATATAGTCATGATTGAACAAATGTAAACGATTATGATATTATGTTCTTTTAAAATTTGAAAGAAAAAATTGTATTGGACAACGTCAGTTAGAAAAAAGATGGATATATCTTGATAATTATGCTATGTTACAACACGTCTGATCGTGTAAAATGTTTGTAAACAGTGTGTTTTTTTAGGTCAAGTATAGTTTTGATGGTTTGTTTGTTCTTTGTTCATTTTTAGTTAGTATCCTTTTTGTTTTTGTTTGTCTTATTACATTATATTCCATTATGTTTTTGTTTGTCCAATGGACGATTATGCCGTATTTTGTTAGTCTGCGTAAATCTTAACAATCCAATCGCAACTTACTTACATGTACAAAAATGAAACTTATAATTTCTTATATAGGTAAGACAATAATTTATTTTTTGTATTATTTTTTGTTTAACTTTCTTTTTCTTCGTGTTTGTATTTAGATTGTTCATGTATAGTAGTGTATTTATGTTTAAGCATAGGCTAGGTTTAGATCATTCCTATTTATAGATATACTTTTATATTGTTGTTTTGTTGTATTCTGTATTCTTTGTATTATTAAGCTATGTTTGTATTCTTTATTATGTATCATTATCATGACATGTACATGTGTTGTACTCTCATACCCCAGAAGGGGGTCGAATGAGTCAATAAATTTTATTCTATCGCAAATACGATTTTTAGGTATAATTCTAGACTTGACTTACAGTAAAGCAGTCTTTTCGGACCGACATGTGAGGTATCTCTGGACCTGTGCCTGGTTGACAGCGTAGAGAGTGCTCCAGAAGAATGTTCCGCCTACGACGACTGTCCAGAAAGTATGGCGTACAGTCGGGTCCGGGTTGAAGCTAGAATAAAAACACACAAAAAAGAGGGAAATAATTTTCTTACACCTGTATAACTTTTCAAATGTATATATGCATATACTTATTCGCGTCTTCTAAGAGTTGGTTGATTACGTAAACTTTAATCAATGTCTTTTTTTTAGTTAGGCTGCTCACATTTAGCAGTCTCTTTGTCCATGGCGCATTTATATCTCCCGAAACCTCTTTGTCCATGGCGCATTTATATCTCCCGAAACCTATCGATCAATTACCATACATTTTACGTGATTCAAATTGTTTATCCGGAATGCTTTGCGGCCGGCTTATATGAATCTTTACTTTTATTTGAATGTGGAACACATAGGCCCGAATTCACAAAGGAGGTTTGTCGATAAACCTTACTTTATGTGCGTCATATGACGCGTTTCGATGCGTTTCAGACCAATGTTGAGACAAAACTTGGTCTGAAACGCGTCAACACGTGTCATATGACGCACATAAATAAAGGTTTGTCTACAAACCCCCTTCGTGAATTCGGGCCATTAACTTCAGACTTCAACGTGGCACTAACTACTTACTCCAAAATATCAAGTCGCCCGCCCTCTCCGGCGATCCGCCAAGCTTCGTTGAAGCCGTCAACGTTCATTGACCCTGCTATGATGACAGCCAAGAAGCCAGCCATCATGACGGTCACTTGGAATGTATCAGTCCACAATACTGCTTTCATACCACCCTGTATGGATTGAAATCGTGAAAACGTTGGTCATGAATTATACAAAAATGACAGATGGGGACCTCATGTCGCCCCTCGCTGATACAATTCTACACTTCCACATTCTTTTATTGTGCGCTCCACACATTTGTTGTGTTCTATGAAACTGACTTGTTTTGGACTTTACTACAGCCCTTAAATATTGGGTCAAAATACTTACAATGGTCGTATAGAATGTGCAGACAATACCAATCGCTAAAACGGACCCCCAAAGGTCTAGACCGCTGACTGTAGAAATAAAAGACAAAATGTTACAACATTAGAGAACAACATAAATTCCGAGAAACCACGTAGCGTATTGGTTTTTAACCCGGGGTCTCCTGCCAGCCCACCCCCCCCCCCTTCCGCGTGCCACCGGGGCCTACTGTTTTCGTCATATATGGGGCAATACACGTATTTTCTAAAAAATAATAAAGCACTAATCAAATCTATTAAAACTAGCATTACATGGAAACAGAAGAACAAGTATTGCCCATTTATTAAAGCATTAATTTTTGTTTGATACAGTAGCAAAGGATCTTCAAAAATGGATGACCGTTTATCCAAACAAGTTTAGGGCACTGATACCGTTTGTTTCCTTGCACAACTAGAACATAGATTTTTTATAAAAATGCATGACATTTGTTTACATTCAGAGCTACAAGAAAAGTGCTTTTAACTGACTGACAGAAATCAATGTTACAAAGGGGGTTCTAATAAATTATGTCCATTGAGATAGGAAAAGGAATAGGAAATTATTAAGGAACTCTTTAAAATATTCTGGAATGTTTACCTTGGTTTAAGGCAAGTGCCGGAGCGTAGATGACAATACCGAGGTATAAAATCTGTAGGCAAAATGATACTACATCAGTCACATACAAATGCAGAATACTTATAACGGGCAAATACTTCGAAAACAGCTAATAACATGGAGTGGATAGTGCTTTCATCATCAAATGCCTTCCCCTGTTTACAAAAGGTTTAAAAGAAATTCTACAAAATCAATTAGTTTTTGGTACATGTTTCCTGAAAAATCATGATGTGGATTCAATTTGCTTTTTCTTTTTGTGCCCTTTTTAATCTCTAGTAAGTGCCCCTTATCAAGTACGAGAAGTGCCCCTTTTCATTTTTCATAAGTGCCCTCTTAACCTCCGATAAATGCCCTACACAGATCTGAGAGATGCCCTTTTTACTTTGACAACTGCCCCTCATGCCTCTTCCCCTTTTGATAACTAACCCTTTTCAATGAACTCGGATAAGTGTACCTTTTATTTTCACATGTGCCCTTTTCCTTTCTAAAAAGTACCCCATTGTCTAAACAAAATTGTATATTTTCGCTTTGAGATTTCTCTTTGTAGGTGCCCTTTTTCCAGAAAGTGCTATTTTTCGTTGGTGCCCGACCTCCCCCACACTTTGGAAGTCGCTCGGCCGCCCCTGCTGAAGAATCATTAGCGACCAAGCGACCGATTAGATTTATTTAGATGAATGAAGACTGGTACTTAAGTGAGCAATATTCTGATATCTTTATAACTCAATTTTCATCAAAAGTGGATAAAGCTCGTTTCGGAATTATGCTTTACATAATTATACAGAAAGAAATGATAACGTTAAGTTTTCCATATTTACTTTTAAATATTTTCGCATGAGGTTCTTTATTCATTTGTTGGGCGGTCCCCGAGCATAGACATTTTTTTTAAACGAACATGTTATGCAAACACAATGGGACAATTTAGGGAGGCGGACAAATTTTCAAAATAAAGGGCAATGTCAATACCTCCAGTGGTTTTTATTTACACTTTTTAGTATATAATATATATCAGAAAGCAAGAAAAAAAAAACTCATTCAGTGATGTGTGTTATATCCATATTAAATAACTAGAGAATGGAATATATTACTAGTATTACAAGAAAGGGCAAGTTGTATTCAAATGAGAAAAACAAAATATATCTATATAACTTTTGAAGTTATGATACACAGCGGACATACAAATATTAAAAACTGAAATGTTATTATGGATATTGCAAAAGCATATTGATATAATTATTTCAATAATGTGGTTACAGGTTGGAGGTAAAAACTAAAAACGAATTCAGGTACCATCTTGGTGATATGTCTCTCGTTATGTTTCACTGTCATGATTGGAAATCTAAAATTAGACAAGTTACCATTTGCAGAAGATACAGTATTGTCCCCAGTAATCTTGTTGGCTTGTTAAATCGTTTCTCGAGGTACTGTAAAAAAAAAGATAGTATGACTGTCATTACTGTGTAGATAATTTACAACACAAGGCAATATTCAAACTGCCCACTGATTAAATCATCTCCATTATATCTTCATTTAATTTATTTTTTATTAATTGAGCTTTGTGAAGGCATCTGAAAATAAGGCTTCTTGACATGCTTAATCCTGTACTTAGCATGATTAGGACGATTGTATGGATAATGGCCAGTTTACAACATCGTGAACGATTGTGGCGTAGGGCTTACTTCGAATCATCGGGTCGTCCAGTCGGACCTTTTCCGAAAACATGCCCCTTTATTCACGAAATGTAGGGGGTGACATTGTGAGATAAACCCCTCTCACGTACAAATTATCCGGTCCCATTTATTCGACACTTAGAAAATACCCTTGGGAAAATTTACGAAAAGTCGCATCCTTTCATGTGCATCTTCATATGATCTTCCGCTTCCGTTTCACGAAATGTTGTGCAACGCGACCACCCGACTGGACGCGAATACCCGGTGATTAGCGTAAGCGTCGCCGTCTTGTGAATATTCCGTGAGTTTGAATATTTACTCAATAGTAATAACAATAACGATCTCGAGTATCTATGAGCCCTAAAAACAAAAGGTACGGTAGCGCATACAAAATCACCGAAGAGGAACATGACACGTATGAAGAATGTAAAATATATTGTATTACTGAGGGAAGAAATATGCTGTAACATTGTTTTGGAGATTTGTTTAAAGTGGAAAAAGATGTTGATTCATTGCTTCGAACCAATAGTAGACTTATTTAGCTAAAATCGATTTCGATTTGATAGTAAAACAGCCTAGACGGGATTTTGAAGCGTTGCAATCGTGCTAAAATTTTTGCAAAGAAGTGTTTCAACGGACAGCTTTATGGTGTTTTCAAATCTTTAAAATATGATTAGTTTCAATAACCCCATATTTTGAATAAGTCAAATTTTTATGTTTCAATGCGTCATACATAATGTGTGTAATATCCAACTTTAAAATGTCTATTAAACCGGTTTATTACTTTAATATCATAATGAAATTTAAAGCAATTAAAAGGTCTTCATCGGATAATACATATTCGGTCCACAAAGTTAAATGTTTACGGTTAGAAAATGCGCGTGGCATCCACCCCATTGTTATTAATCCGTATTTTTGCACGAGTTTTAGCGTGGATGCCTTGTATTACCCTACAATGCCATGGAAACTATTTAGGGAGTCTTTTTATGTTTGGCTGGTCCACTATAATATACATGTCACCTTGTCACCTAACGCTTAGAAATTTCGGTGGAAAGCGCTATATAGAGATATATAAGCACCGTTTGAAAACAATGAAATTGTCCTTGGCATGGCAAAATGAAAGGGCACAGTAGTTCCGGTTTGCGTTTTATTTGTCCCTGTGACTGTTTTCCGGAGATAAATATGAAAACTTTAGAAATCACAGTTGAGGTTTCCTAATACCCGATAAAAAGAGAACTTGTTTGGAAACTTTGTTTACACAACGTTTGAATCTAAATTGGGTGAATTATATTCAATACTAAATAATGATCAAGAGTCAGGAAAGTTATGATCATGTACATCTGGCCTTTCAGAGACAAAACGTATTCGATGAGCTATCTAGGATAATTTGAAGCCCTCCCCTGAAAAAGTTTCTCGCATTTCCCATATAAGTCTATATATGAAAAAAAGAAAACAAAGGTAATTTGGTGAGGGTGCATGATATTTATTTTTGAACCTGGTTTGAACACGTTTTAGGCACATAATGTCATAAGAGTTGATTTTGTTTATTTCTTGACTTGCTTGCTCCTTTTTTGTGTATGTTGGGAGGAAAGGAAAGTAATTATTAGAACATATTCCTACCTCATTAGCGCTCGTCACACCCAAACGATAAAACGTTGGTAGGAAGAGGGACGTCAGGAATCCGGTGAATATGAAGGCTATTCCGTACAACCAGTACATGGGTCCATTCAGGTACATTTCGGCTGGCGTCCCCAGTACGGTGATCGCAGAGATAAAACTGGCCACCAGCGACATCGCAACGGGCATGGGGTTCATGTTACGATTCGCGAGCAGAAACTCACGTGTGGTTGACTGCCGGCCGCCGGTAAAGGCGTAGAAGACCCCGATGCCGGCTGACACGCTAAGCATCGCCGCTAGGACGACATAGTCCCAGGCCTGGAACAGTCCGACGTCGTAAAACTCGGCGTCCGCCATGTTATACCAGACGTATTCCGTGCTACTTTATAAAAGCAGATGATGTCCCCAAAGCAAACCAAACTGATAAGTAACGATTAAACTGTGTAATTTCCCGAGAGGGGAAGGGAGATGCTCGTGTCTCGGTGTGACGTTGCATAGACAACTTTGCAAAATGTCCGTAGCCCCGTAAATATATTGTGACTAATTTTTTTAATATTGAAGGCAGTGAGTTCATGGAGTATGTTTTGTCGATCAAGAGCAGGTACTACCTGAATTTACCATTAACAGGATGTTCACTGAAGGATCTAATTTTTTCACCAACTAACAGGATGAGTTTGGAAATTAGTCAGAGCATAGACGTTCATCCGGAAACACAGAGGTCAGATTATATTTCCAGTATTCTGCCTTTGGTCTGTCTGTCCATGGGGTGACCTATGAGCAAGTTTATTTTATCAACCCGCAATAAATGCGACGGGTGCCTACTCGTTCTGCGCTCGAATAACATACTCAATTTCAATTGACAAGGTCATGCATAAACCAGCACGTATGGAATTGTTAGGGTCATATTCGAGGTTATTAAACTTGCCCTGAACGAAACACACTTGAGGGTATAGATTCGGTCATTTGATCCGTGTTATGAAACCGATTATCAACTCAGCCATGACCTGTGTCAGTGTCTTTTAATCCATGTACTTTTTCTCTGTTGCGGGTGGGTGATATGCATCGTATGTTGTTGTTTCGCATCAAAACATACTACATTGTGTCTATGTGTTTGAGCATTAACATCAGCTTTCTGTACATACTAGCTGTCCCCTTTATCCCCCCCCCCCCACCATATCTCACCCCTCTTCATTCGCAGTCTTAATTCATTGGAAAAAACTAGCCCCCTACCCCCTCCCCACTTGTGATTTCCACCAAGTATATGCCTTTTTTACTTGATTAATCTTTGGTCGTTTCTTTGTTTTATATACTTATCTGATGTTATTTGTTGTTGTTCTTCTTCTTCTTTTCTCCCTTTTTGCTTTGTTTTGGTGGTTTGTTTTACCTGACTGCTGTATGCATGTAGATGGGCAAACAGGGGACTAGAAGCTCAAAGTGCTCTACATTAAAGCGCCATTTCGTGTGTTTTGCTGACCAACATATTACTATTTCATTGCACCTTTTATTCAAACAACCTTGATTTAGGTCATTCTCTTTTTATCAGAATATCCACAGAATATGATAACAAATACACAGCTACAACATATATATGGCTTCAATATGAATATCATCAAAATGCCCTGAGGTACGTGTAGAGCACTTCAAAACGGTTGATTGCACATGATATTATGCAGCAAGTACAACGATAGACTGTGATGTAAGCTGTAGGATAGGGAACAACTTCTTCATTAACAGGTGAACATTTGGGACAGCTGAACTAAAATATTTATAATTGAAAGAGGAAGATAGGGGGCATAGACACCAAATAATTAGTTTCAATTTGGAAGAAAAGAAATCCTATCGACACTCGTCGATATGATCACGTTTTTATCTATAATTGAAAGTACGCTTAGCCTTTGAGGGGGCGGTGTCGAGGGAGGGAGGGACTCTCAGCAAAGTTAAGGGCGAAGTGTAAAGAAACGATGAGACTTGTTCTCTAAACAGAATTTGTGCTGTTGATATGTTTAAAAGACTCCTCCACATTTATTTTTCTCAAATAGGCCTTACTTCAGCTGCGACCCCTTCCCCAAACCCGACAATGATGACAATACTTATAATGTTTTGTTACAAAACTAGCATTAATACCATCAAGCGCACGAGCACGCACACCCACTCATGCTCATGCACCCACGCGTGTAAACTATATAGCCAACACCCCTCCTCCTCTTCATCTGATACTCATACAAAAAGAAAACACACCCACTCACCTGGGAATTTACCTCTATTATTCATGAACAGTTAATGGCGAACTCAAAACACAATAGTCAATAACAATACATTACAACGGCATTTGAAAGGTAACACTAATTTAGAACATCCCTAAAACAAGTGGGGCTTGAAAAGTCTTTAAGTGGGAAAATAATGACTATTAGTTGTTGAATCGACTTAAAAGCTATAGAGCCAGTAAGTAATAGTCTGATTTTCAGACCATTGTAGTTTTGTACCGAATAGTCGTACGTTTTATGCTGCGCAAAGATTCAATCAGTTTAATTTTGGCCATTACAAGAAGTGGGTTATTGATGTTGAGAAATGCTCATGTACCCTTTTCAGCTCAATGTATGTATGTATGTATGTTATTACCAAAGAAGAAAAAACCAGTCTGTCACTCAATAGTGTCTGACAGTGAAGTCTAGCAAGTAAACATGTTTCCTTGCATAATATGAATATTAGGACACTGCTAAAGTTTAAATTTCACAGATAGGACATACATGACATATTCCTAATTCCTGCAAAGTTCTACATAATTTGATGTTGGCTGCAAAAGGGACATACTATCTTTAAGTATTGGAAGCCCCAACATATTGATTGCAAGATTTCACCTAAATTAGATCATAACGTGTAAGAGAATGTCTTTTAAGACACATTTCTGAAAAGATTTTCAAAACAAATGTCTTTAAAGTCTTTGAAGGCGAAACCCACGTACCCCTTTCTTGCACAGGCATGATATTCTCACCATTAATTTTTTTAGCAGATGTTTCTGCATTTATTAATAAATCAAATATAAAACATTCAAATAACAATAATAGTATATAATATAATTGATTTACATAAAGAATGACAACTTAAATACACACAATTAAAAAATGCATAATTGAAAGCTTGAAAGTATCGATGTAAGTAAAAATAATCAAGATAAATGCAGAGGCCAACTATCATAAGCAAGAATGCTTGAGTCGATAGCAGCCGGGAAAGGGGGGGGGGGGGTACATGGCGCTGTTATAGGAGTTTGTAGTGGAATAGAGTGTCACGTATACAAACAAATTTTAGAAAGTATCTGAATAAAAAGTGGAAAGAAATTAAAGAAAGAAGAAAATTTTGCAAGTGTGTGCAAGTGGGTCTGTGTAGGTGAAGTAAGTGTTCGATACGTATTGTTAATGAACTGGTCAGCTATTGACGACGATGTATTATTATTATTCTCATTTGTCCATGGTCTCTACAATGCATTTGAATTAACTAAGTGTAAATGTTAGGATTCCTGGTAGAAGTTTCAATTGTTTTTATGGCATTTCTAGCATGCACTCAGTAGATCCCGCTGGTTCCAACATTTTTTTCTTCTTCTGACTTGCTTTCAATTACAAGAAAAAAAAGCACACGATCTTAATCTACCAGGTGCATGCCAAACTTTTCTTTACAACAAGACCAAATATTATTATACTACTTTATGTAGCGTCACATGGTAATCACTAGTAGCAGTAGTAGTTTAATTGTTATATCATTATTATTATGACATGGAATAGCAATTTACTATTTAGGGACTCAATGAAGAAAAATGTAGTTCATTTCACAGTCGATTTCATTTGGTTGATTGGACTGTTCGCTGGAATTAGCAGAGAGAGATGGAGGTGAATATTTTCACGATTACCGTTGACATTGTATCGCTATTCGTATTTGTTCTTCGTCTTTACAATGCTATTTGAATTAAAAAAAAACTTTAGGGACTCAATGATGACAAATGTAGTTCATTTCGCAGTTGATTCCACTTGGTCGATTCCAGGCATATTGCTCCCATTGTCTCATTTTCGCTGCGCTATATGTATTATTATTTATTATTATCATTATTATGAAAAATGTAGTTCATTTCACAGTTGACTCCACTGTTAGTTCGTTGGAATTAGCATTCTCACCATTATGGACGACCTTGTATTATTATTCGCATTTGTTCATCGTCTTTAAAATGCTATTTGAATAAAGAATATATGTTATTGATTGATTGATTCGAATTTATTACATTTCATAAATCAATTGCTGATTATTATGAAATGAAACAGAAACCTACCGGAAAGCATCGCTTGTTTGTGTAGGTTCGCAAGAATAAATATAATATGAACATTATTTTCACCCAAAAAAAAAATCATAAAACAAGATTATTTTTTTTGAAATCGTCATTCACGCGTATGTCCTCCTGATAACAAGTTAGTCAAGGCCGTCTTATTGGAATCGTGTATGCTGCTGACTGATTGTCGTACTGCCTGTCTGAGTGTTTTCTGTTAACACAAAACGTACCCTACGAGGTGGCACAGCCTCGGCTTCGTGGGCACCATGGCGTCAAATACTAGATATGTAAGTCATGATGGATCATATTTCTTATATAATATTGGTCTTTGCACCTCACGGTTTTTGGCGTTTGTGCAACTTTAGTGTGAAATATAACACTGTAAGACGAACTACTATTCCAGTGACAAATAATTCAATGAATTCTCATTCTCAAACCGTAGGCCTAATGGTATTACCATAACTGATTAAAGTATCGTGAGTAGAATAATAGATCTGATAAAAGGGGAAATTTTGCACTTAAAAAAAAGGGGGCTAGATTTTATTTTTTAATTCATGGCGTAGGAGACAAAATAATGCATTGTATTATCAATTGCAGATTGAGATGTGTATGTGTGTGTGTGTGGGGGGGGGGGGGGGCTCGATCGTTGGACACATGTCAGTCAAGTTCCACCGTCAACCCAATCTGGTACCACGAGAAAACATGTACCCTAATGACCCAGCAGGATTCTAGCCTCCAAAGGCATCTGTAAAATGTGATAACTTATAATTAATGAAATTTCCCTGTTGCTTGTGTGCTAGAATGGTAGTAAAGAGGCTAGCATATTCCGTTTTAGCCACGAATTTACTCGACGATCGAATCATATTTGATTAATTATATTCCCCTCGTTCAGTCATAAAGTTGGTGGTGGATGTGACTTACGAATTTGAATTTTAGTGCTACCACATTTATATAAGTGAACAACAACTAGAAAAATAAATGTACGCATCTTGGGCTGTAGGATTGTATCTTCTGATTTGATCGTAATCCAATCTGAGCCATCGGAGTAGGACTCTGATATATTCGTTTTACAGTTAATTCTACTCTGTTGGTTCCATTGATTGGGATGATTTAGCAGAAAGAGATAGAAGTGAACTAACTCACGATAAACGACGTCCTTTTATTATACTCATTTGTTCATCATCTTTAAAAAATCTATTTTGAATATTGTGATGACCACAAACGACACCGTGGTTTTATTTGTATGTAGCGCCACAGATAAATGATCATTAGTACAGGGCTTAATAATTTAAAGAAAACTGAATTTAAACCCTGGGATACTCTCTCTCTTTGTCATTGCCTTCCTGTATGTAATGTGCATGTGTATGCCTCGATCACAGAGAAAATTATCACTAATATCGCTGAAAATATGCCTCTTCTTCCCAGTCTTCCTCCTCTCC